AGACCATGGGTCATGCAGCATCTTTTGAAAATATCACAAATGTGCTAGGACCAAAGAGAGAAGTGCTCCCAAACAAAACAAAATCTCCAGTGCATTAGCACCTTGCTAGCAGTAAGATAGTGAACCATAATACTATGAATAACAGAGAGGGGTGTTTAAAAATACACTTCCCAAAGAGACTAGAATTGTACGGTATGTAACAGGAAAACTTATCCAAATGGAAAATCCAACTACCCAAGCTGACTCTGGAAGGAGTAGATGAGTATGTTAAGACTACCCCCATTTGGAAGCTAGACATCCAATTAATGGTGTTGGTAAAATCCCCCAAAATGTGGAAGTCTGGAAAAATACAGAACACCTGAAAAAGGACATATGGAACTGAAACAAGTCCAAAGGGCAAAGTCCAAACCTAAGATAGCATCCCAAGAAATGGAAAATAAGAATGTGTACCATGGGCATTCTCAGTCTTGCAAAAGTAGCTTACAGAACTGTGATCAAAGACTACATATTAAAATGGGGAAGATCCAAGAAGTGATTGAGGTGGGACCGATCGAGCCAGAGCTCCAATCAGCATTGAGCATACAGAATGTATAGAGAAACCCATAAGAAGGACATGTAAAAAATAGGAAGGTGCCGGACATGTCTCAGAATGAAACAAAAGAGTAACCAAAAAAAATGTGAATATAGCATTGCAGATGCCCCATGTGACACTAAATGTACAAGAGTAGCCCAAAAAAATAGACTGGTAGAGAAAAAGTGCTGACCGTAAGTCCCTATTAGTAGTGGATGGTAAACAAATGGTAGTGTCCCACCGTAGATGATCCCAAAAGCAAAGAAGCCATGTGTGGAGGGAAAGAACTGAAGATGGCAAAAGCCCCAACATGGAGGGAAGAAGAAGGAGGTATCCTACGAAAATCCTTAAATATAAGTGGAACACCTAATAAAGAAAGTGTAGGGTAAACATTGCCTGTAGGAGAGTCAATAAGGTAATACAAAGCTGAAAAACTAAGTAGGGAATAAAATGGATAGGATTAACAGAGATTTGAATGACATATAATCAAGAAGAAAAATCTGCCTGATGGTACGCTAAGGCAAAAAAGAATCAAAGCCTTTAAAAGGCGATGGTATCAAGTACCCACTCTCAAAAGACAAAAATGATCATCATGAAACAATGTCAGGAAAAGAAGGGGAATATACTGTGAAACGTGTCTAAATAAATTGAGATAGGCCTAGCAGATTCTGCAGTAGAGGCCTGGAAAGACAATCCATGATCATAAGGAAGAAAACTGACAAAATCCAGGTCATCTGAAATGGGTTCAAACATAGTACGAGGAAGGCGAGCAATATTGGGAGCAAGTAGGGTGGACCCCGGCCATCTGGAGCCCTCACAAAGGAAATTAATGGAAGGAAGTATAAAGTATAAAGAATGACGAAAACCAAATAGTTTATTTATTGTAAATGTTAAGAAACTGTGTAGTGAAATAAAAATATGTACTAGATGTCATGTGTTGAGGAAAAGAAGATATTTAACCTAATTATTGATTAACCAGCAAGTAGAACTACAAATAAACCACAAATAACAGACTCTTGTTAAGCCTAATCAAATAGTGCAGAACAAAGTATATCACTAAGCTCTAAATCCAAAATTCTAACCTAACAATAAGTATGTACAATATTGGGAGAAAAAGTTTGTGCAGACCCTGGCTTCAGGGTTCCAATGATAAAGTTATGAAAAAGTATAAAAGGTAAATAATAACGAAAATGAAACAGACGTTATTTCATAAAATTAAGTGTGTATTAACAATAACGTATTGTTACGTCTCTGTTCGTTTGATAATTTCCTGTAAAAATTCTTCCCGAGAAACTTCAATGATACAAGTCTTTTCTTAAATAAAACTAGTTTATTCTTTCTCAATTCAACTTTGCAATACACTTAATTTCCACAGTCACCTTAACTTAAACACGTGCTATAATTCACAACAAACGATTCACGCGCTTTACTTATGACTTGACTCGATTATCTGTCTCTTTCTCTTCAATCTGCAATTATTCATATCTATGCCGTCACTTCTCGCCAGTCATATATATACGAAATAGAGGGTGTCTGGAGAACATTCGAGGCTTCACGAATGGACATGATCTTTCTAGAATCTCGTGATGTGTTACTAGAGTCACGTGACTTCTGCTGTCGTAACAGTGTGTATGAGACATAATGTATGGAAGGAAAACAATATAGTTAAACTAATGATTGATAGACCAGTAAGATGAATTACAGGTATTCCTACAATAACAAAGACCCATGGTAAGCCTAAGTGAATGGTATAGGACAAAGGATACAACTAAGCCTAATTTTGAACCTGAACTTGATTATGAGTATTGGTCAATCTAACAAAACATATGTTATGGAACCCAAATAACTACAAATAATAATATTAACAATAGAAGTATTCAAAAACCATATCAGAATAATGTCTTTCCAAAATTGGCAAAATGTATTTCAAAATGTGTGAGCCCCAAACTCAAGGCAACTCATTGGATGATCATTCTCATAACAAAGTAAAGCTGATAATTCCCCAGTGGAGTACCATCACCTGAAGCCTGAAGAAATGTGCTAATAGAGCATATAACTTCTGAAGTGGTAACTTAGAATTCAAAATGAATAACCAAACACAATTGTGTTTACAAAAAGAAATAAAAAGTTTTGTAATGAAGTAATCAGTTCCATAACTGGGTAAAAATATAAAATAATTCCACTTTGGAATAACTCCGCAAGTTACAAATATCACTATAGTATAATAAATAGTAAGTTTGATGAGAGAAATTGATACAAAGATATGAAAAAAAAAAAACTTGAAGAGAGCACAAACTGAACATTACAACATGAGTACTGCCAAACAAGAAATGATAGTTTGGTAGAATCAAATAGAAGGAGTCACATGGGTCAGGAGTGTGTGTTGCACTCTTATTGGTGGAGGATTATCACAGGATAATTTACATGCATGATGCAGTTGAACCATGTTGATTTTGGGGTAAGTGGGAGTTCAAGGCTTGTGGCATTAAAAAACTTTTTTGTATATAGATGTTAGCACCGAACAAGAATAGTTATTTATGTGAGAGGAGGTAATGTAATGTATCAAAATCAAGATTTAAGAAAGTGTGTCTTATGGGCATCTTTATTGGACAGCTAGCAAATCAATCTCTATGTTAAATCTCAATCAAGTCAATCATATATCTTGAATCTTAATCTAATCTAATTCCATACTGAAGTTATATAATAAAAACAACAATACCATTATTCTCAGAGCACAGGAGTTTTCCACATAATTGATGGTCACTCACTACAAAATAAGGAATCTTGTATCCCTAGAGTATCACTTGACTTGTCAGTGGGAAAGATCACTGTTGATTTCTATACAGTATGTTCTACGTTATAACTTACAAAACTCCTTCCCATGAGAAAGCACATGTGACAACCTAGTTCACTGATATAGTTTCACATATAACTAGGATAAGAGGAACTTAAGAGCTCCATTGACTAACTTTCTATACATGTTCAATATGCATAGAAATTTTGATAAATTATATATATATCAAATAAGGGGACCATAATATGTATGGTATACTTGCATATCACACTGGTGTGGTATTGTTTGATTAATTGGATGACAGCCAATCATAGTATAAACTATTAACACATAATTGTACTGTGAAGTTTTATAAGTATACCACCCATCATCATGATACTGTACAACTCACGATGTGAATCTTTCAAACATGTGCTCATACCACAAAAAAAAAGTGTTTCTTAGTGATATCCAAATATTTGGAGAGCACTATAATCTGAAAAAGGTTCAATAATCCCCAATTTAAATTTTTGATGTGACTTGAATAAATAAATAAATGACAACAATGGTATATTATATTAAATCTTTCAAAAATGGCACCATTTGTAATCAAAAGACTCAGCATGAGTGTTTATATTCCCTAAAATCCAAATGAGTGTGAATCTACACATCAGATTCTTTAAAGCCTTTCCAAAATAAAATGGTACAAGTCAATTGCACGCACAAATGACTATCTCTAAATGAAAATCAGACCTACAGTCAAAGTTGGACAGTTAAATGCTAACAATTTATTCAAACTTTGGTTCTTGAGTCCCTTAGGTACCCTAATTACTGGTGAGAAAATAACAGTGTCATTTATTTTAGTGATTTGTAATCTATTGACTTTTTTTTCATACCTAAATTAAAAATATATAAAGAAAACAGAAATATATATATATATATATATATATATATATAT